AACTTACCTCAATAACGTGCTGCAATCTGGGTTTTTTTCGCGTCTCTTCTCCTCTTCTTTCGAAAGGATTCAAGTGTCACCGAGAACTGGCGCGAAACGTTTGTACGCAACGGCTGAAATATTCGATAACTTTGAGTTGCAAGTTGAATTACGGCGCGACACGGCTATTTATGAAGATTGTGCTAGAATTTGATCCGTAATCTATAAATAGTTGGATCGAGATCGATTTCGCCGAGTACGAACATCGAAGCGCAACGCACATTCGATCGCTCTTTGAAAAAATGGCAATGGGAGAAATTTTGCGAGCTTTCTCTAGTGTATCGTATCGAATAACTATATAACGCGTTGCAGTTAACCCCTGCCTGCATTCTATTGTCAGCGTGTGCTAACAGCTAGCGAATTATAACTTGGTCGAGAGAGTTATACTCCTGATGAAAAATTCAATGCGTCTTAGCTAGCTACAGGTCAAGCTAAGCGACATAGTTAATACATGGGAACGATATACGATATAAATTGTCGTCTAGACTCTTTTCGCGTTACACTCCAAACTTACACGTCGATATTTTGGACTAACCTTTGGCAAGCCTTGCAGAAGCCTCGCTTGTTGGGTTTTGGTTGAAAGGAGCGGAATCGAGGTGGTGTGTCAGCAGCCAACGGTCAAATAATAAATATTTCGCTTCGACATTTTTAGAGAAGAAGAGACGCGTCTACGATCAGTATGGCAAGGACGGTCTTCAAATGCCTGGAGGCAAACGACGCCACGGGGATGACTTTGATTCGCACTTCGGCGGCACATTCGTCTTCAGGGATCCCGAGGAAGTTTTCAGAGAATTTTTCGATGGGATACCGTTCGAAGATATGTTCGCCGGTAAGTTCGGAGAGGGTCTAGCCAGACAAGCTTGCACAGGTGCATAAGCATATGCATAAAGAAATTGATTGCTTTATTTCCTTATGCACCCAATCAGATTCCTTATGCGCTATGCAAGCTGGTCTGGATCGACCCTAAGGGCCATCGCACACAAAATTGCATAGCCGCATATGCATAGCATAAGACCATCTGGACCAATGAGCATGTTATGTAAATCAATATGACGATTCGATACTCGATGCTCGTTGGTTTAGACGGTTCTTGTGCTGTGCATATGCAGCTATGTAATTTTGTGTGCGATGGCCCTAAGGGTGTGTTCCCATTTTCTCTCAGTACTACTGCCAGTACTGGACGCCTTTACCAAATTCAGGTTCTGAGAAAATTGTTTCCAAATAAAATCTCAGTATTTTTTTCGTAATAACATAACGGGGTTTCTTTTTTAATGCAACTATCCACACCTTTCCTTTGATACTGAGTGCTCGGACCCATTGGGAGTGCTGGTTTAAATGGGAACAGCCGTTTCGGTACTGTCAGAGGTACTGACAATGAGAGAAAATGGGAACACACCCTAACACTGTAGCTAATAATACAAATACATCCAGATAGGATACAATAAGATTACCAGAGTTACGAGAAACGTTCGCAAATAATATTGAATCTTGCAGGTTTTGGTGGCCCCCGGAGAAGTGCCGGGGGGAGGCATGGTCCCTCGACTAATAACAGTCTGAGCACTTCTTTCTTCGGGCCCTTTGGATTCGGCTTTCGTTTGCCGTTTGATGATTTAATGGAGAATCCCGGTGCCGCAGGGAACTTCACTTCCTTCGGCACTTTTACTAGTTTCGACGGAATGAGCGGTGGCAATGCTGTGAAACGTACAAGCACCTCGACTCGTTTCATCGATGGAAAGAAAATTACGACCAAAAAGTAAGTCTCGTACGTCCGACATGTGCGTCTTACGCAATGTGTACGCTCCTATCCGGTAAGACTCGACGGCGTTACGTCCCTTTCGCATTGTGTGTTTCTAACATTTTTTTTCTCCTGTCTTTTGCAGAGTCTTTGAAAATGGGAAAGAAACGATAATGTCTTATGAAAATGATGTACTGAAATCGAAGACAGTGAATGGCGTGCCACAGTCAATAACGTACAGTTAAAACACATCTCATTCGCACGATCTCTCCTTGGCAATTGAGAAATTCCTGTCGTCACGATTGAACATCTGTAAACGAGTATGAGTACTTGTATCCGCGTTGATATCTCTCGACACAGTTCCTCCCCTCGCAGAATCGTTTTCCATCGTTTCATCAAGAACGTAACATAAGTCGACACGCTCTTAACCGCGCGTTACTCGCCGAAATTGACAATCGATGATAGTGAGATAGGCTCTCGAAAGCCCGAGTGATCGGAGCGTTAATAATTGGAATTTACATAAAACAAGAGCGAATTGCCTCTTACACGAGCACCAATTTTCCGTCATCTCGTTTGTTTGTGTGTGTGTTAGGTTCGACGAAGCATCGACGAGTCGTCAAGTCCGTGAGAACGTCAACGATAACACGATGGGTAGCCACAGCTCGAATGCGACCAACGGCGACTATCTAAAAGCTAGCAGCAAACTAAAGACGCGTCACCATCCGCACATGAGTAAGAAGCACGATAGAAGTAAGAGGAAATAAATTGCTTCGCTCTTGTCTCAAGTTCCTTACGTGTATCCAAGTCGACGAGTGCGCGCTCCTGATATACTCGGCAGATTTGACCCCGGAGAAATTTTCGTCCTGTTGATACTACACATGTAACTATCCAATCTTATTACTTCTTATCCGACAAAAGAAATTAAATTGGTACGTAATAAAAGAACAGTGTCGCTAATCTATATAAATTAAGAGGGCAAGAGTAACATTCTATAAACGACTGGCTTGACATATCCACGCGGTTCGTATAATAAAGTTCATTGAAAAAAGAAATTAATAATTCGTCGACCTTTAATTTTGAGAGCAAAGCGGCCCGCTATTTGTCGTCGTCGTTGAGTCGTTTAGTTTTGTAAAAGCGAGTTGTTTGAACGTAGTTAGGTATTTGCGATAGCGTATCGCTTACGCCGCGAATCGAGACTAATTTACAAGTAACATCTGCCTTGTCTCTACCTAGTTGTATGACGTAACCGATGCTAACTTGAGCCTCGATTATCGCTAGGTTACAGAACTGATGCAGACAAAAAAAGCACTTATAATTTCTCAAAACGACAAAAGTATCTTATGCATCTCCGTATCGATTAATAATATAATTTATTTTCGTCGCTGCATACTTTTATTGTCGTTGGCTCTAGCGTTATTACAGATTTAAGTTTTAGCTAAATATGCGCCGAGGTACATTGTTGAAGGACTATGTTAGAAGTATCGTTTTTGATCGGATTTCCTTCGATTAGGTATTTACGTATGTATGTGTATATAATGATAAGGAAAAAAAGATGTTATAGAAATACATTATTAATATACACTAGTGATCTTGAGTATAAAGTCAGAGCATGGGACTACTGCAAACGGCAGATATCAAATTGCGGAAAGGGGGAAAGCAATTACGACAGAGATATATGCGACAAGTAGCTTTATGCTGATACCAATAAATCATCAGATACAAAAATTCATACAAACGGAGAACAGAAAGAGGTGCGCGTTTGTGTAAATGGCTAAATATAAAGTCAGCATTGCACCATTATCTATACAATACATCTGATTGTTCGCACATGCGAATTACATTTATAATATTCCGGGTGCTTTTCCCATCGATATAAGTGAAAAAGTTTCGAAGAACGACCGAACGAAATCACGCGCGAGTATTTATGTGCGCGTGTACACGTTCATTAGAGCCGACTACTTCTTTCCAATCGAAGCGATTAATGCCTCCACTTTAGCAATGTATTGTTCTTTCGCCGTTTCTTGTCCCATGCTTTTTTTACCGTTCCAAGCGTCCCATTTCGCCTTTCCTTTGAAATCCAACATGCCCGGTCTTTCTAAAAAAAAAAGAAAAGAAGATTTACAGGTATTGCAATTGTATAATATAATGGGCTGGACGCAAAAATTCCATAAAAACGTACCTGTGTTACAATCGCCGACGGTGGATTGCTTGTATAATGCGTACAACTCGAGTAAATCCTCATCTTCTGGCTGCGCAGCCAGTTCCTTTACCGCCACGGCCGCACTTTCAAATCTCTAAAAATAGAAAAGTGTATTCACGATCACTCGATAAGCAGGAAACACTTATCGCGTTATTCGGTGAATTGTTAAAAATAGCAATCACAAGCAATTTAATTTACCGTAGCAAAGTAATCAAAGTATCGTACACCAACGGTGTATAATTTAACACATTCTTATCTTTTTATCTGTATCACAGTTAGAATTATCATATATTTAATTAGAGTGATATCTCAGTGTGTGTATTAAGGCTACAAACACGATGTCGATCTGCGATCGATATTCTTTCAATTCACCGAATTATCTTGTTGCTCAAGATTAAATGTCAAAAATTTTGATTCAGATCTTAATGTATGAAGAGTCGAATCTCGCAATTGTAAGAAACAGAATGGAAGACTAATCGCTAAGTTAGAATTTATTCTCCACGGTGGAAAACATTGTGTTATAACTAAAGCAATGATTCGAGCGTGTATAGGACAGTTGGTTCTCTTATCGGAATTGAAAAACGGTTTTTCTTTTCTTCGGTTTAAATTTTTTCATCTCTAGAGATCCTCAGAGTGTGCGTTTATATATAATGCACGCCCGGTCAGTAAATTGTCCGCGATATGACAACGCATCAGGCAGTAGGCAACGAATTCGATATCGTCTGTGTACACTAAATGCTTGCTGATGTAAGCTGAAAACAGATTGTCGGTAGAAAGTGAGCAGAATCTGCGCCGTTTCGTAAACGTTTAAATAGCATACGTCGTTTAACTGTTTGTGAACTAGCAGGCTTTACTCAATTGTCGCAGCCAATCTGTTTATATTCCGTTATGGTCCAAGACAGAATCTGCAGCAGACACTTAAAAAATCTCTTCTCGGCCGACTTTAAAAGTGTTTGCCGCATGTGTACATAACATAATGAATCTTGTAGCAAAGTATTGTTCGCGTTTTCTCCCTTCCTGAATAACAATTGTTTAGGGATTCGATAGAGGAATACGACGAGAATGCTTGAGGAAGTTACATGCACCATAACGAACTGCTTGTGGCCGATTCCTCAAGAATTTTTCAGATATTCATTCGTCAAATTCCGTAGATTTTCCTCAAAACTAATCGTCTGTGAATCTACGCCCACCCGTTCTGCTGTCTGGGATATAAACATACATATTTTTTTTTAACTTGTTTTCATCGTACGATTATAAAATACGTAAAATACAAATCCTTTTACGTGTAAGTATAAGACAGATGTATGAAAGGTACACGGAATTTCAATAAATCTTAGCGATTAGTTTCCTGCTCAATTTGTTGTACTTCGACTACATCCAAATGCACAAACTCGGCTGCTCCAATAAATTACAATTTGGATTCTCGAGCGGCCACGGCGGGTTCAAATGATCAATCGGACAATTACGGCGGCCGAAAATTCTCGGATATTCATCGAAATATTTTTAGTCTTAGACTATGCACGCGCGCGAGTATGCGTCGGCTAATCTAACCTAATCTTAACCTATTCTAACGTAGAACTCGGCACATCTCTGTAAAGTATCGTCGTTCGACTCCGCTGAATTTCTCCCCCTTCGACCGACGCGAGCAGTTTTTCACCTTTCCGGGATTAACGAAACTATCCCAGCCGCGTACCACGTTAGTACGTCGCCGGTTTGAAAATAGGTTTGGAGGTAACGATCGGTTCGATATAGAACCGATCGCGTGTCGCGTTTAAACGAACAATCGATACGAACGTCACCGATCCCATCGATCAAACTGGCGAACTAATTGCCAACTTCACTCGCTCTTGGAAATTTAACGCCCTCCGGAGCGTTGCAGGGGAGCGGCGGATTCCAGCGCTCCGTTTTCGCGTGCGAAATACCATTCGAGCCGCAATGTATGTCAGAACGAGGCTCGCTCGTTGCTCTTACTTCGTCCAGCGACATGATGCAGGGTGTCGGGTGCTCGCAAAAACTTACGACGACCGCGAACGCCGGCGGAGAGAATAGTACAGAGAGGTTACGACACACCCGTGTCAACAGACGCCGCGATAAGAGGCGACTGCATACGTGGCCGAGCACGCGGCATACGTGGTCCTCTAGTCCCGCTTAAAGCGGCGCTTAATTTTTCATCGCGAGCTTTACTGACCTTTGGCATGATTTAGACCACATCGATAAATGGTTCGATGCCTTTGCTGGCTCATTTCGTAATGGTGCTACATTGTTAACAATTACACGGGTACTTTAGTACGTTCTGGCACTTTAGAACGTGCCCCAAGGGGAACAAAAAGTCGGGATGATGTCACTTTGACGTAATATTGACCAAATTTATGTCAAGCTTTGGTCAATTTGATGCCGTATCGACCGAAATTTGACATAAATTAGCTCAATGACATCAAATTGACATCATTTTTCTTCTCCTTGGGTACGCCCTAATATCTCTTACTTGTGAATTACGAATTCCATATTAAATAGCACACTTTTACTGTGTGCTATGTTGCGCTTAATATACTTTTGCTTCACGTCAATGCCCAGATAGCACACGCAGTTCTATGAATATTCTTCCGAAGTGCAAAATATTCTTCTCACGCTTTACTCGATATATCAAACTACCAGCAGTAACGCGAGGTAGCTTTGTTTTATTTAGGCCGTTTTTTCTCCATTTTGCTTAAAAATTTAATTTAAACTTCGCCCAGCCATTACATTCGCAGAATCGAATCGGATAATGGAATCTACACAGGGGCCCAAGTGTCTTATAAATGAATTCAAAAATCTATTTTGAAGACTCCTGGGTTCGCGTTTGCCAAGTCCACTCGACAGTGGCGACTTCACTCAAAACGGTGAAAACAAGAATCTTATTTCGTATCTCATTTCGTGTCCCTCATATTGCAATGTGTAATACAAAAATATACAAATGAATGCACGTGTGAGTTTATATTTAAAGCGTAATTGTATTGTTAAAATATATCGGAGACTTTCACTTTGCTGTAATTTAAAATGCGACAAACATTCGTTGTACGTAAAAGTCGCGGTTCTAGCGTTAAAAATATTAATAATAGCTGTTATTATTATATAAATAATTATAAACAATTTAGTCGTAAATATGATAAGATAAAATATTGTGCGTGTTTCGACTTGCAAAGTCGAAAGTTTTGTTGAAGTTTTCCTCAACATATTGTCTATGTTATATAGCAAAATGAATGTTAAAATTAAAATGATAGATCGTGTTAAACGTATGTGGTAAAATATTACACTGCTACAATGATCATACACTGTGTGACAAAAAGTGTGAATAGAGTTAAGAGGCTATGGCAGAGATCAGAAATAATGTGTGTTATAAATTGTTCTTTCAGAAAATTACGTAGCGCGTTAACAATAATTAGATATAAGGTTAAAATAAATAAAATCCCACTCACATCATTGACAATGAGAGGCAAGAAAATGCCAATCCCTATTTGGCTGTCAACAATGGTTTCAAATCACTGTCTACTAGTTGTGGAATCCAATTTGTTACAGTCAGTCGCGGAAATACTGTTAAATTGTTGAAATGAAAATGTAGACTGAATTAAATCTGACAGAATAATAAAATGAGTGTTAACACTCAAAACTTGAGTGTGTTTTTTCCGTAAGGGAAGGGACTCTCTTCTATATTAGTTTCACAATCTTCTATTACAATTACTAATTCTTACAATTAGTGTCATCTGTGTAAAAGTATGTACTGAATCTACTGAATAAGCCGGATGATAATTTTGTTACCGTTGTGTGAACAGTCATGCAAGATATACCAAGTACGCAAGTCAAACGCCTATGAATAAATTGTCACGACTATCGTATACACAGTAAAATAATAAATATACTAAATTTAAAAACAATGCTTTTTCGAAAAACATGCCCTGATACTGTGTCGATCAATTAAACGATTGAATAAATTAAAGGTAAAATAGTTGGGCAAAAGCGAACGCTTGAAATCAAAGTTGAGAATTAGTTGCGATTTTCTGATTATTTCTTGCAATAACAAAGAAACGAGGGCCTTGGCAGTAGTCGAGAAAGTTATTCTATCTCACTCTTGTACAATCGTTTCTGAGACAAAGAGCGTTGGCGCGCCTTGCATTACGCGCATCCGGCGACTCATTGTTAGAGCGACAAGGAAAACAATGAACTCCCTCCCAACATTTGCAAAAGCTGACTTGAATCATATTAGAAACCCATCTCATAACGGAGGACTTTCCTCTGGATATTAAAAAAAAAATACGATTCTAATCGAAGAGTCTCGACAATCAGGATATTGAGATTACGTAAAAAAGGAAATAAGATTAGTTTCAACCTTCATAACTGTGCAAGAATAAATGTCTGTCGCAAAGTTCCGAGTGGCGCGAGGAACGGCTTAGAGTCTTATTACGCGCATCACGTAACACATTTGATTTAAGTTTGCCGAGACGATAATCGAAAATGGAAGAATAAAGATAGACTCATATCATAGAAGGAAAAGTACTATGTCCGATCATTTCGTATGCTGCAACGCGTCGCGCTGCACCGTATTGCGGTATTTTTACCCTTGACAACAAGCGTTTCGTGGCGACCAGCTAGCTATTCGTGATCGTTACCGCATCTCGAATTTTAGTATAGCTGCCACCCATCCAATTAATTAATATGCTTAACCTCAACGAGTCTTTCTCGAATACAATTCGTTGCTTTTTAATTCTGAACGTTACACTTTGGTACGTGTAGATTACATCCCGGGTCTTTCAGGTCAAATATACTTTTGCACACAATTCTGACAAAAGTGTATATTTTTTTGTAAAATTTTTGTTTAAAGAAATGGCTAGCTATCTTAGAACAAAACTTCAAATTGCTTAGCTGGCAATTGCAAACACTTAGCTGTCCCCAATGAGTCATTGATAGCTTCTCTTCACGGCAGGTTGATTGGATGGTCGACGTTGCAGACCACATTTAATGTGTAAAATTCAATTACTTATATTTGCAAAAATACGATCAGGTTTAATCGCGTTAGCATAACAAAATGTATTTTTACTTATTGCAATTTATTTGATTATATGTTATATGTAGATTTCGTGCGATGTCACATTTGTAAGAAAATTGCCTGACACGGGTGGTCTGAATATCACCCTGTATATAAAATGTGTATATATATATTTCTTTTTATTACACATATAATAATTCATAAACTATCAAATCTCATACAAACCTGGTCTTATTTTTCTGAAAAATATGCTTATGCTCGAAATAAATTTGCCTTATATTTTTGAAAAATTTATCAGAAATGTATGCTTACCGTATGCATGTCTTCGTATACTTTTTAATGTTCTTCGATTTCTCGACGCGTCGTCTGTCTATGATGACTATAATTCTTGAAATATAGAAAAAAAAGTGAAATATCTACCCGAGAAATTAAATGCGTGACGTACATGAACCCGTGGCACTAGTTAAATGGTCGATTGATTAGTTGATCATTCGAGTTTCGCTACACATATGTGACGTTTTCAAATTTCAAACAGCTGTCAGATTCCCTCAAAACATTATATTTTTTAACTTTACTAATAAGTATTTGCTTGTAGAGGTCGGTAATCTCATATATTTAATAGCGCATTTGAATTCTTGTGACATTTATTATGTTGATATCATTTTTTGTGATCGACCCATAACTTCTATGTTAAAAAGTACAACTTTAACATTTTTCCTTTCTTTTATTTCACCAATAGCCGGGTCTAAAACTTCGCGTACTAATAGATAAAACTCGCAACTACAACATATTTAAATTACAATTTTTTCTACTTTTGGTCGGTTTAGGCAGGAGCCACCTTAAATCTTAACAAAATGCATGAAATTGTACAATTGAATTCTGTTATTTGACTGTATATTAAAATGCAGGAAAGGGGCAATATAAATAATGATTAACTTTCAGGATGTATTACATGCTCCTTATACATTCGAATAACATTTTGAATAATACTTTATTTTTCAAAAATCATTTTTTGAACACACGTGCGGATGGTAGTCTTTCTTCAATGTGGTTCGCAAAAGCAGCGATTGCTCCGCAACTACGCAACGATTGCTCCGAAAAAGAAGAGAGATTTATATGTATATAAATTAAGAAAGAATGCAAAGACACGCCGCTGTAAATTGTAATTGGCATTTTCTGCGTCTAATTTTCTATATAATAATTTGCATTATATAATTATATATTCTACATTCATATTACAAACTTGTTCGAAAAATTGAAAAATCTTCCAAATTCGCTCTTGAAAGATAGACGAAAGGAGAAAGAGAAAGGAATGGAAAATACTTAGTATTTTTATAACCATTGGTTACTTGGTGATGATAATTAAAAGTACAAGTTGTCTCTATCCTCTTTCGTTCTTACATACATACGCACAGATGCACACATACGCACACATTCTCTCTCTCCTTCTTTCGTTTCTATCTTTTCATGTACATAAATATATACACTATGGTGCAATGATTATACTACATTTTACGCACAGTAAGAAAACATTTATAACATAAAGCATGACTTTTGATTTTTAGCGTACAAAAAATCGCAATAACGAACATTTTTACGATTGCGCACAAATATACGAATTTAGATGATACGGATACAATCGCATTTGGTAATAGTAAATAAATAGGTAAACATGAAAAATAATGATAACAGATAAATTGTGTCTTATAATTGTAGTCATAGCATCATTCTAACACGTAAAGTATAAACTAATTGAAAAAGACTCAATTTTATTTTTAGATTAGAAAATAATATATATTTTACGCCGGGAAAAATTTTTCTCAGAATTTTTCAGATTTTTTAATAAACTTTATAAGTTTTTAGAAAATTTTTCAGATTTTTTTATACACAGTGATACACTTTTCAGAAGTCCCGAGAAAGTTTATATCACTTCTAGAATTTTTCATATGATATGAATTCTGAAATAGTCTGAGATTTTTATGATTTCTCATCCTACTATTTCAGACGTAGTAATCTTTATAAGATTTGGAAAAGTTTAAAATATTTTTCAGAAATTAAAGACTGAGAAATCTTAAAAAAAGAATATTTCAGAATATTGACA